CGAGTTCTCGGAGTTTGGGTACCCCCGCCACTTCGCAAGATACTGGGTTAGACCCCGTCGACGACATCGACCCACATAGCGTTCCACGTGATAGTGGGCGCCACCAATCTAAACGAGACGATTCGGCGCAAGCGATGACGACTTGGTCGATCCGCTGTCCGGTGACTCGCGATGCTCTTTGAGCGTTGGAGGACAAACTTCGTCGTTATCGGCACTCTGCCGAGCATTTTTCTGAGGTCGCCTACCGCTGTGCGAAAGACCTCGAGAGCGTGGAGCAGTTTGTGCACCGACTGGCTAACGTTGAGGATAATCGTGCTCTGTCGGAGCGGCTCCTAGCCATCAAGCAGACGAAAACGTCACTTTGTGCGATGGTGGAGCGTCTTGCGCTGTTGAAAACGGAAATTGTTGGACTCCAAGCTCAGAAACAGTTGCTAATTCAACTTCTGGGTGGATGAGCGGCTTTGGGCTATCAAGTTCACTTGCGCCAGATCCTAATACGGCTTGAGCAAGCCCACATAAAATACCGGGTGGGTGCGCATACTTCTTGGAAGGTTCAGCGTATACGCAAGGCCCCGCTTGGCCACGATCTTAAAAGGTCCAATAAATCGTGAAGGGAGTTTGTCTTAAAGGCTATAAAGAGACTACATGTGTGGGAAGGTTTTTAGCATTTAACTAAACTAGGTCTCCGACCTCAATTCTTCTGCTTCTTCATCCGCATAATCTTTCTACATGTTGTGGCTTTTAGCCATCGCATCGCGAACGTGCCGTAGGACACTCAGTCTAGTAGATAGGAAGTCTCCGACTTCTTTACGCACGGTGGGGCTGACATCAGCTAGTCGTTCGGCTATTCCTCCCCCACCAAGCCCTGAGCCATGGGATGGCGGCGTCAGCAGGACGCGAGGATTAACAAGCCCGTTCACGTAGAACGGTGTGTAGCCGGAAAATGAATACAGTGCATTGTTCAGAGCAAACTCTACGAGTGGTAGCATGGCGCTCCAACGCTTCGGCGTCTCAGCGCGCAGTCGCGGCAAAGAACGTCTTCTGCAACGCTATTCACGCACTCAGTTTGACCATCGGTCTGTGGATGATCCGCTGTTGATATAGTCAAATTGGCACCCAGCATCCTGAAGATTGTAGACCAAAACTTCCCAGTCTCTATCAGAGACAATTGACTTTGGGAGTCCATGCTGTCGAAAGACACGATCGACAAACAGCGTCGCTGTACCCACACCGTCGATGGTTTCCAGCAGCACTGCAAGATGAGCCATCTTATTTAAACGGTCCATAATAACCATCACACCCGTGTTGCCCGTCGAGTCCTTCGGCAGGCCAAACACAAAGTCCATACTCATGGACTCCCGACACCCCGAAGGGTACCGGTTAAAATGGCCAGCGGCGCCGCCGCATTCGAAGAGGGTGCCACCCTCTGACATGTCTCATACGTGCGCACATATGTGCTCGTCCATTTGTACAGCTTGGAACACCAATAGTGGCAACTTACCGAGCTGTACGTCTTCTCACGACCGAGATGACCACTAAGTGGGGTGTCTTGGGCCTCATAGAGGATACAATTGCTTAAATCCTCATCGTGAGGGGCCACAATTCGTGGCGTATCCGTTAGATCGGTGCTATAATACAGCAACTCGTTACTCAACGACAAATTTTTGTCCTAGTTTCCAAACTCCTTGTTTCCGAGAGTCTGTAGCAGCGCTTCACACATACTATCACCCGCGCATGCGCCGTGGATCAAAT